GCGAGCGAGAGGGCCAGTTAAATAATAACAAAAACAGGCGTTAACACTTGTCAGCCGACAGACAGGAATATGTCACCTGCAACAGGAGTCGGGGCGGCAGGACTGATGGGCAAATGCAATCAACACTCCACTCGGTACGCACAATCTATAAATCTCAGTGCCAAAATATCCCACATAAATTCATATTTATGGTCGAACATTTGAACCTTTTTGTTTGCCACACGCACACACACACACGTAGACAATCAAAAGTCGATTAGCATGCAGCACCCGGGGGCAGTTACTCCTGCCCCGAGCACCGGCTACAAATAGGCAAACGCAGGTAATCGCATTTCCCAAAAATGTTTGCTTCTGCTGCCGCCCAAAAAACAAACCAATTTTCAACCCCTGCCCAGTGGAAATTTCGTGTTGAAAATCTGCTGAAACACAATGAAAATATTTTGCCTTCTGCATAAGGATTTGGGTGGGGATGTCATTGGCTGGGGGCTGGGGCAGGGGCAGGGGCTGGGCCTTGCGCTGGGTGTGGCTGTGACAAGTACAAGCCACTTGTGCGTTGATGATAATTTTTACATTTTTGGAAACAGACAGAGAGTCGGACGACAACGGACCAGATATCTGAAATCGGCTTATGTCGCCTGCATTGTGCTGACAATGCTGGAGGAGCTTTTGTTTTAACCATGGCCAAGCGGGAGGGAGGGTGGTAGCGACCGGGCTAACTGTGCGGCCAGGCATTGTGTGATTTATGCCCAGTTTTAATTTAAAAGCAATCAATTTGAAATATGTAACCAAAAAGAGTTTCGGGCTGCAAGAAAATTGAAGATAACAAATGAAACGAAAGTTAATAATTCAAGAGACTGAGAGTTGAGACTGAAGCTGGGCGAAAATATAAATTCTAAAATTTATGGTAAAGTTTATATACATATGTAGTTGCAATTGCAACACTTGTGGCTAAAATTCGCAGGAAAAATAGGCTTAATTTATTTTAATTTCTAATCTTTAATCTTAAGAAGTAAGCGCAGCCAACTTCAAGCCTATCAAAGTCTTTTTGCATGTGTACTAGAGGCATTCCTTAATGGACTTAAATACTCCTCATTTCTTCTTCTAGTTCGATTTGCTGATTAAGTTTAATCGTTCATTTTCTGGTCGCGAACTAATTCGCTCAATTAGTTCACTCGTTCAGTTGTTCAGTCGGTCATGAACTATCAAGGTGAACTCAAAATACCGCTATCTTTTATGCTCATGAACAACTAAACAGCTCTATAGAGTGTATAGTTAATGACCGACTAAACGAGTACGGAATATATCGTTCATGACTGACTGATTAAATGAACGACTGAACTAAAAATACCAGATTTAGTTTCCTTATCACTGAATAAGTGCAGTAGTTCATTTTAATGACCCGTTCAGACGAACTTGGTCTAAACGACAATACTCTATTTCTCAACATTAAAAATATCGAATAAAAACAATAGCTTGGGCTTCTATTATGTTGCCCAAATATGCACAATTCTTATTAAACATAAGAAAATGCTTGTTTTAGTTCAAAAGTCTAAAACCAAAAGCACATTAGCAAAAGTTTACAAAGAAACGTAAATGGCATTAAAAAATTCAATTATGTCAAACATTCAGGTATTATCTTGATGCATTATCCTTGGCTAATGAGCCGACGTTTGTCCAGCGATCTTATCGCTTGAAGGAGCCTCGTCTGAAGCCAAGGACAAAAGTTAAATCAATTAAAATTTATCACTTTATTTTCATTAAGAGCGAAAAGTCAAGCGACGCTGTCCCCAAGGTGCAATTCGTTATCAATTCGCGTAGAATGGCGGTCAGGATGTGGCTTAACTGTAATTTGTCCTGGCGTCGAAGCAACTGTGCTGTTATCGCCACGAAGAAGTAGACAATAAAACGCCACAACGTTTGTCGCTTTAAATAATAAAAACATTTGATTTGCCAAAGGCGGCACGTGCCAGGACGAGTCTGGATAGGCCAGGCTGGCGGTGCGCAACCAAATCACAGATAAAGCCATCGCGTAAATTAATGGCCGGCACGTGTCCTTGACGCTGCCACAAAGAGAGCAGCTAGAAAGCGACACTCTTACGGATTGGCTGGGGCATTAAGATGCGGCTCGCTATTGGGATTGGGTTTCGGGGATTCGGCCTGGGCAAGCTGTCCACGCTGGGTGGTCTGCTGCATGTGTGTGTGTGCGTGCGGATGGGCTGTGAATTGGGAGCAGCTTATGGACAACAAATTATCGACTCTATATGCGGATATTGTTGTGTGCTGCTGCGGCTGATAATTGAGGCGTAAATGTTGACACACGTCCGCACTGCGCAGCTCAGCTTGGAACATTGTCGTCGCCCTCTTAACCGACTCCAAGTGCAGTTTATGTTTGCGACAATTGCCACTCGGGCTTATGAGTACGCTGCGTGTGTGCGATTTCATTGCAGCAATTTGGTTTTAGTATGGATTCTGTTGGCTGACTGCCTGGCAACAAAGTCAATGATAACCCTATCAAAATTTTATGCACTATGCGAAAAATCGCATAAACGCGCCATTTGCCGGGTGCATAAAAAGTTAAATTAGCTATCCGCAAATATCAATGAATGAAACAAAGAAATTCACATAAACAAAGGCGGCTTTTGATTTTCCAGCTGATGGACTGGTTTCAAAGTGCCCGACAAAACCTTTGGCCATATGCGAGCAAAAAGTATGGAGAAAAAAAGTGTGTTGATTCCTTAAATACCCTTTAATAATATTTAATTATTATTGTCATTAATATAAATTATAACTAAAAAAGCAGGTTGTGTTTTTAAATATTTTAGGAGCATACCGCAGACGTTGCTATCGACTCTAGAATTGCAAGCGTCTTCTCATGTTTTCGAAGCTTCAACTTGTTGAGAATTACAAGCGTCAAGCAATGATAAAGCCAAAGCTAGCTTAACAGAGACCAATATATGTGTGTTTTACCATGAAGCAACAACTTAACACAGTTAAGAACTTATTTATTTAAAGATGAAGATGTTTATGAATTTTATTATTTAAAGGATGGGTAATATACAGGAAAATCTCAAGCTAGCCTTTTGAAAAGCATTGGCAAATAGGGCCTTCGATAAAGCCCAGAATTCGAACCAAAATGCTCGTTTTAACAATTTTAAATAGCGAAATGGCAACTTTTTGAATACGCAGTTACAACTTATTATATTATGTTTTATATAAAGAACTATTGAATAAAACAAATTAGTAATAAAATAACAACTAGACCTTAAGCAACAAACAGTAACAAAATATCGAATCCTTCTAAAAGTAAATTATGGAAAAGTGCGCCTTATGTTTACGCAATATTAATTGCGATTATAAAAACTTGGTATATTCAAAGTCCACCATTTTTAATACCCGTTGCTAGAATTATTGCTGGACTTATGAAAACGATCCGTATAATCTTGAGTTATTCAAAAATGTAACTTCTGATCCGCTGAGGGATCAAATGAAAATCAACATGCTTGCGAGATAACAACCCCTATGTCTGGCATTCATCATAACCACCTCGTTCACCTCAGGCATAAGGGTATACAATACATATTTAAGGTCCCGCCCCGCCCCCTTTCAAAACCATGAAAATTAAAAAATACAAAAAAAAATCACACCACAAAAGCGAGTGGAATACATGATTATATGGGACGCCTGACATATGGCCACTTGGCAGCATTGGAAAATCAGTGAAGGATATGCTAACAGGTCGAACAATTGTCAAATAACCACAGGACATGCACTTGGCCGCATCCTGTGTGTGATTGGAACAGGATGTGTGGAAGAGTTAGAAGCTGGTTGATGATGTGTCGCTGGCTAGCCCCCGTCCAGTTGCTTTGATCCTTGATTGGAGTTGCGTCGACCACTTGAGGCGCAGCTGTGACACTGATTGATGAGCCCGGAGCCCAGCGATTGTGTCTCCATCAACAGCTTTCGGAGGATTCCGCATCAGCGATTGCTTTAATCGAATACTGTGGTCGGGCATAGGGGGGGAGGATTGGGGTCTGCTGCGGTTCGTTGAAATCATGTAAATGGTGTCAACTGTGTGGGCATCATAAAAAATAATGACCAGCCGAGATAAAATGCTTTTTTATGTTATTGCTCCACTTCGCCAATTTCAGAGCAGTCGCAAACAATATTTAAATTTTAAAAGTTGCAAATGTACCAGTTAAATGAAGCAGAAGCAAGATTGTCGCCCCGGCACAAATATTTCAAAGTTTGGGGGGGGTTGCAGGCTCCAGCAGACGCTCGCAAAATGGAAAACAAAGGCAGCCCAAAACAAAGACACGCCCAGCTATGTGAACCGCCCTGACAATCGAATTTGCACACTGGACACATTTTGGAAATTGATACATAGAAAGGGACACCGGACACCGGACACTTTATGGAACTATCAAAGTATTTGGCAATAAATCATAAATCAATATAGAACGCTGCCAGGCAGGGCAGCAATCGGAAACGTCGCACTTATATCCTTCTGCCGGCCATGGGCTAATGATGTCTTAAAAAACGATTTTGGGCCCAGGGTGGCCCAAATCGAGAAACGAAAAAGTAGCAATGTCACAAAACGAGGGCAATTGATGTCCTCAGGTCAAACGCATTAACAAAATTGCCGTTTCAGCTGGCGAGGAGCTATATGTGTGTGTGTGTGTGTGTGCGGCTGGGAAATTGAATTTCCACGGCGCTAAGTGACGTCGCCAGCAGAGCAACAATATTCTTCCAAATCGGCTTTAAGTCATGAAAAATAATAGACAACCCCCGACGAGTAGTAAAAAGCAGATTGCGAGGCGCGTCAGCAACCAAAAAGATTGTGGAACACATGCTGTGCCGCATATGATGGCTGACGAGGGCGACGCTCTGCGCTTATCAACTGTGAAACACGCATGGAAAGTGGGTTGGGGCGGAGGGGAGCAACGCAACATGTGAGGCTCCAAAGTTAATATGGCAAATATACATACAAATACACATGCATATATATAGATATATATATATTGGGATTGAGTGGGGGAAATGTTTCAACATACATTTGTGGGCAGAAGTGGGCCTAGCTTGTATCCATGTCTCCGGGTATCTCGGAGTCCTCAATGGTGCGTGTGGCGGGTATGTATACCTTAAAGGCGAACTTGGACTTGACAAAAGAGCCGGTGTTCAACACCGTGCATTCATGCTGAGTGCTGGCAAAGCTCTGGCAGGAGTCACCCATCACAATGAGATCAGGCAGTGGGTATAGCCACAGCGCCGGGTCGTAATCCCAGTGCACGGGCATCGCAATTGGATGTATGGGCACCAGATGACCCTGACAGACGAGTGTGCGTGCAAAGTGCTGCTCAATGTGAGTTGTGTCGGGCGGAAAGTGCAGCGTATTGCGACAGAATTTGGCCATAAGATCCAGACGGCAAACGACAATCTGTTGTGTGCAATACTGCAAGCGGCAGGGGTTCGTGGCCAGCTGGGTGCGCGGCCAAGCCTTGAGCAGGCCAGCGGCCAGACACTCGGGCAGCGGAGCGCGTGGTAAAATGTTTGGTGCCGTAGGATCCTCAGCAGAGGGCACGAGAATTAAATCGGTCTGCTTTTTGAGCTGCTCGCAGCCGGCGGCCAATGCGCCCAGAGCATCCAAATGCTGACGTAGCTCATGGTGATTGCGCGTGCTGGCCGTAAAGGGCCCCATCAGGACAATGGCCTGGGGCGGGCAGGAATCATAGCCGACAAAAAGCTGGCGCAGTTTGTCCATGACAACGGGCAGATCCAAACGCACATCAGACAGGAATACCAGCGTCGTCTCCGTATTGGTGCGCTCCACTTCTTGCAAACGAGGCGAGTACTTCAGCAGCTTTGTGGGCTCGCCGCCCCAAGTGTTGCCAGTGCCGAAGAAGGCGCGGCTGCTGCTGGCTGGTTCAGCGGGCGGAAAGCCTAGACCATCGACTATAACGTAAAGTGCAAGTGGTTACCATACAGCAGCGCTGGACATTTGAACAAGACTCACCTTTTAGTACGCCATTCGCATAGCTGCCCTCCGCGAGTACAAAGCAGCCCTCGCAGAAGAAGCCGGCATGGAAACGTGCACCGCTTAAATCAAGCTCTACACAACCTGTTGGATCCTCCACGAAGAATTTGCCCTCCTTCAGCTGAGTGAGCAGACCCAATACCACAGCCTCCTTCAAGTGGGATGTCGCCAGCAAGTTTTCTGCGTACTGCAATTTGAATTTTTTGGTCTGCGCTGCGGCTGCAACGCCGTCTTGGATGACTGCGGGCGCGAAAAGATCATGCCGCAGCGTTTTCTGCAGCAACATTGCATAGCGCTGCTGCAGATAGTCAGACTTCATGCGGGGCTGTGGCAGCAGGCGTCGCGGCTGCGTGTCCAGCTCAAACTTTTTGATCCGTGTGTTGTAGCGGTAGCGTGGCACAGTAAATGCATCAATTAGTGAAAAAATAGTCTCGCCCTCATCCAAACCAACGCGGTTTAGTTCATTGATGGCTTTTTCCAACGCTTCTCGTTCAACATGCGGCGTTGCCAGCTTCTGTCCCTGCAGATTCTCCGTTATGACCGTCATCCATTTCTCACGTTCGGCCGGCTCGAAGGGCAGCAGTTGCTCGGCGAGGTAGGTGCTGTTCTCGGACCGAATCAGAAAACCACATAACTTGAAAGATGTTGTAATGCGTTTGCGCAACTGCGCCAATTCATCCATATTTTACGAATTAAAATAAATTTACACATTCACAACTTTTTGCCACCAATTTTATAATTTTGGCGCCATTTGAACTAAAGAGCGAACGAGCTCTCACTGGAGCTAAAGCCGTGCGCACTTTTCAACACTATATTTATGTATTATGGTGGCTTGTCGATTAATTGAAGTGGCCGATAATATATGTGCCAAACTGTGTATTTATTTATTTTTACCAGAAACACACCATGTACACCTGCCAGATAAGTTATCCAATGCTGACCAATATATGGGTCCAGCGACATGTATAAAAGCGAATTGTAATGACCACATTGTACATCGATATTTAGCTGTTTCGATACCAAACAGGTTAACAGCCATACAAGTTTTGTGCTGACTTCAAAAAAAGGACGTCATTTCAACACATTTAGCAGCTATTATTATATTTCGAGCGTCATTCGCGTTTCTAAGAAACCGTTTAAAGCAAATATTTCCTTTTTTCAGCTGCTTCTGAAATTTTAAATTCCCCCAACCAACGGTGTTGCCGAATCACAGAAGTGCGCGCTTTAAATAACATTTTAGCTAATGTTAAAAATGTTCAGTGCCCACAGCTGTGCATACAGCAGGGAACCAGTTCTTTTTTGTTAACTCTCTCACGTCCAACCCAACACTACTGGCAACGCACGTGTATAAATATTAAAGAAATTGGATTGCTGTTTTTTCACACAAAATGGATGTTGTCAAAGCAGTTTTAGAAAAACACCAAAAGGAATTGGATAAGTACAAGCCAATTACAGTAGAAAAACATCTAGAATGCCGCATAGATGTAGGCACACTGCTCATCACAGATCCCAATGACTTTGACGACCGGCAGCTCGCGTAAGTAAAATGTGCAAAACTTTTGTAGGCATTTAAATTAAATGTTGAATTAATGTAGCAACAACAAGGAGGAGTATTTGGCTGCCCTGACCCGTGAAAATACCCAACTGTTGGTCAATGCTATTTGGGAACTCCCAACCGAACGTGTGGACGAGAGTATTGTGGCCAAATTGCCCGAGCCAACAACTGTGCTGCCGCGTCTACGTAAACCGCCAGGTCCACGTCCTTTGACAAAGTGGGAGAAGTTCGCCAAAGAAAAGGGCATCACAAAGAAGAAGAAGGACAAGAAAACTTACGACGAAGTCCTGGACGTAAGTAATCAAGCAATTAATGCGAAAATACAACTAACCATGCAACCCCATAGAAATGGGTACCTACTTATGGCTTCAAACGAGCCGAGGCAGAGAAAGATAAGGATTGGGTGCTGGAGGTACCGCAGAATGCGGATCCCAACACAGACATGTTCCAAAAGAAGATGGACTTGCGCAACGAGAAGGTTGCCAAAAACGAGATTCAGCGTATGCGGAACATTGTGCGCGCCAAAAAGATTGACATGCCACGCAGCGGCTATCTGGGCCCGGAGGCCGCATCTTCCAACCAGCTGCATACGGCTATGACTGTAGCGAAATCTTCAACTGCATCGGTGGGCAAATTCCAAAGCAAATTGCCTAAAGAGAAGGAAGCACGTGGTCTGGGCGTTAAGGAGCTGATACCAGGCGGCAAACGCAAAGCATCGCATATCACAGCCCAGCCTGAGAGAGAGGCCAATTTGGATCTCATCAAGAGTGTTCTTAGTAAAAAGCCCAAAATAGATGTGGATAAGGCGATATCGCTACAAAAACAAGATGAGCGGATAGAGTAAGACATGCTGCTAGCACAACCGAACATAGCATATTTATTAATTTTTATATTTTATTAGACGCGAGGCTGAGGGCGCCAACAGACCCGCGAAAAAGGGTGGAAAGAAGGGCAAAGGCAGTCGCAAGGCAGTGGGCAAGAAGCCTAAGGGTCATCAAGGTCAACGTGCACCGGGCAAAAAGGGCCAGACCGGTCGCAAGCGTCGCTAAACCGAAAACGGCTGCATTAACTAGGACTTTTTTATTAACAAAAACACAATTTACACGATAAATACAATGATAATATTTAAGCCACATCAAACCTATACAACTCTACTTGCGATGGAAACGCAAATCTACGGGTGCACTGTGCCGTTTCAGATATTCATAGACAAAGTTGCGGAAGACCCGATTGAAGTTACGTATTGATGGCCAATGCAGATTGGCAGCATTGTCTCTTGGCGTGTGCCAACTATCCGGAAAAGGTGTCGCTATCAAATGCAAAATGGGCACATTCTCCTGCAGGAACGGACGATGATCGTCGTCAACCAATCCACCTGCGGGTCGATTCAAAAACATGTTGTTATTGCCCTCCAGCTGGCCAGCAGTCCGCAATGTTTGCTCAATCTCCACCAAACTAGAATGCAAACCGTGCGTATTCTCATAGAAACTAGAAAATTTCGGATTGCGAGCACCAATCAGATCAAGCAGCACAAGCACCTCCTAAGCAGGATACAAGTTTAATGGTTAGAAAAGCCTGACTAGCCCGCTAAGTCAACAACTTACAATGCGATCAATGTGACGTGGAGCTAGATTGGCTTGATCAGACGTGGAAGTCGGGCTGCGCGTGCGCGCCAACTTGCTGGCAAAATGACGCGAGCCATAAACCGAGTCACTGTTGGTCCACTCCCTGAAGGCTTCCTCGCCGTCAAAGAAGATCAACTAGAAAATCATTCGATTATTGTAATTAAGGGCAATATAAAGCACACTCAGACGCACCATCAAGCCGAGATCATTGCGATTGCGAAACTGTTGCAGCAAATAGTTGTTCAGCGTTTTGGCCGTATTCAAGAGTATGGCGCAGGGCACAGCCGAGTCCGTGGCACCCACGAAGCCCGGATCATTTGGAAAATACTTGCTGTCATAGTGGCAGGCAAGTGCCAGGAAGTTTTGCGCCTGCGGGTTGATGTAGCCAACGACATTCGCAAACGTTAGCTCACCAAAAATTGGCACACGTTGCTTAAACTCATCCACTTCCGTTTGAAAGCCAAGGCCATTTAGTGAATTCACCAGGTAGTTGCGCACCTGCGCATGGCCACGGCTGCCAACAACGCGTGGCACCAGTATAGAGGCCAGGCTGCTGTTAAAATGTGCCTCATCGTCAGTCCAGTGCGTGGCCTGCCGCCGCTTTAAAGAGATCAGTTTACTTATTTACTCTCTTTGTGACTCAACACACGGGGGAATTCATCCGAACTTACGTTGGACTGTTGTGCGCGTACGTTATCAGCTGCCAGCAGTGAAATCGAAACAAAAATGAAAAACCACGAATGAGACATATTTACAAGCTCCGTCCCGATTCGGTTGAGGTGTTACGGCGCACTGGATCAGATCTCTTTATGACTGGTATGTTAAAACAAATTACCATGGCCGTTGTAGTAGTTGTTGTTTTTGTTAACGATCTGTGCAGCTGCGCTGCGTTACTAATGGCGCGCAAACTAAACACTCACACATGCAAGCACAGCACATACATTCGTGTGTGCGTGTGTGTGTAAGTGTGTGTGTGCGCTTTGTGTACATAAGCAAAAGCTTTCCACCTCCGCAAACAGTTTGAGAAAAGCTTTGCGTGCGTGCAAAGAGCGTAACGGCTTATGCCATAAGCTCGCATAAGCACGCTTCAAGTAACTTCAGCTTTTATACGTAAGCTTCAAAGCTTAATTAACTGTTTCGATTGCGCTTTGATTTCAAATACATATTCAGTTAATTATATATGTCAAATCAATTGTGACTTGTTCGGTTCCCAGGTGCGATTCAACTCATATGGTTTGTGTCCTAGATACAATTTAAAATATTAATTTTATTAGTAGTTATTCAGAAACCTCTCGTTTGAAAATTTGCAAGAATTAAACGCATAGAACACAAATACTTTAATTCTCAATATAAAACAAATGTAAAAATTATTTAATTAATAATTTAAACATGAATTCAATTCTTTTATACTGCTTCTCGGTTAGTTTGTAAAAACTCATAAACGAATCGTGGAATAATTGCGTTCATATTACGTATTGTTGGCCAGTGCAGGCTCCTAAAATTATCACCTTCAGTGTGCCATGCATCTGGATAGGTGTGGGGCACTATGTGCAAAACTGGCACGCCTAAAAAAGCAAAAAAAAAAAGTAGTCTAAAATTGACAACATGTCAATCAATATCAATACGAACCCTCCTCAAGAAACGGATAGTGATCGTCTTCAATATCGCTCTCGTGATCTTTTAGGCTGTGGAACAGCTTATGGCACTTGGTCAGCTTGCCTGCCTTTTGCAGCTCCCGCTCAATATCTGCCAGACGATTGTGCAATACAAATGTGTCCTCGTAGTGGCTCATGTAGATATGGTTGGGTGCGCCAATTAGGTTAAGTGTGACAACCAACTCCTAAGACACAATATTTTAGCTTAAATTAAGTTCAATTGTGGAAACTTACAATATTTTTCAACGGTATTGTTTCCACCTCGGCAAAGCGTCGCGATCCATTAAGCGAATTAAAATCATCTTCCACTTCGTTCAGGGACTCGTGACCATCGAAGAAAACCACCTGAAAATATAAATAATAATAATAAATTATCGTTTTTTTTTTAAACTTGCAGTGAACAGAAGCTGACACTCACCAGCAAGCCAATGTCCTCGCGCTTGGAGAACTCTCCGCGTAAATAGGGACCCAGCGTCCTGGCCATATTGAGAAGAATGGCACAGGAAACGGCTCCATCTGTGGCTCCCACGTAGTTTTTAGCATTCTTCAAGAACTTCGAGTCATAATGACAGGTAAGCAATAAAAATCGTGATGCTTCCGTATTCATAATGCCCAAAAAATTGGTAAAACTCTTTTCATCAAATAATTCATCGCGTAACGCAATAAAACCCAAGTCCTTTAGCTCCTCGATAAGAAAATCGCCCACCTGCGAATGACCTAAACTCCCAGTCCAGCGAGGTCTTAAGATTTTCGCAAGCGTCTTATTAAAATACTTCTCATCGCTGATAAATGTTAGGGGCTTCCGCCAAATTCGAATGAAAAGCACATAGTTGATGAGCAGAAGGACAATGCTCAGTCCCGATACAAATCGAGCTACACGTAACACTGATTGGAGTTTCACTCCCGATACAGTTCGAGTTATTCGTATCATTGGATGGTGTTACACGTGTTGTATTTGATTGTATACTAAAAATATACCTCATGTTTGGTTGGAAATTTCTCTCAGCAAATGGCTGGAACGAAAGCGTTCGATACAACAATTAAGATGATTGAATTAAATTTAAATTTTTATACTCATACCATAAAAAATGGGTAAAAAGGGTATATGGGTTTTGTGCAAATGTATGTTACTGGCAAAAGGAAGCAGCTCCGAACCCATAATGTATATACATATGTATATATTCTTGATAAACATCGAGAGCAGAGTCGTCCTTATGTAACATATAAACGAGGGGTATCAACCCCAACCTAACCCAAATTTTGAACGTAGGTCCTTCTATAACCCACACAGATCTTGTTTGTTAAAAATGATTAATAACTTTTCCCATTTTCAAACAATCGATAAAAATCTATATAGAATTCCTGTTTATAAGAGCTGTAGTCACCAAATTCGACATGTAGCTTCTAGAGATGCATATACAGATCCGATATCTTTTATTTTTTATAATCGTCATTTTATTCACCATCCCCCACCGCTGCCCCTAAGCTATAAATCAAATAAACCAATCAATTGGAACTAACCCCCAATTTAAACCTCATACATATTAAAACCTATTTTCTTTAAGAATTCTATTTATGCCATTTTTCTTTAAGAATTCTATTCTATAGCACAATATAAACTAATGTTGAAAATTTCATCAAGATCCGTTGAAAAACACAGAAGTTATTTAAGAAAATGTTTGGCAAGCCACGTGACTGCAAGCTCAAATGCTGTATACATGAGCACACACACACAGACATACATACACACAAATAGAATTGCAATTGTGATTGTATTGAATAATGTGCTCTGTGTACGTGCTGATATTTTGGTTCAGTTTTTTTTATGGAAAGTGAATTCTTGATATGAGAGTGAGGTATGAGGCGCTGGCATTTTTGAATGGAGTTGCGAAAAAAATTTATTAATATAGTAAATTAAACACAAGGCACAACCATAAAATAAACTGGCAATACAAAAATTTCTTAACGCTGCTGGTAAATTGGATAAGCAGTCGCTGCGTCGAGTTTAACAATTTGGGTCTGAACTATACCTGTCGACAGGTGTGATAAACAATCAAGATTTATATTTATTTCATGTTTCGCTTTGATCCATCTTGTGATGTGAACTTTTCTATCCTTTCCAAAACCTCTGTCCCCTGACTAACTAAAGAAGGCCTGCGGAGGGTTACGTTGCTTCCATGTGGTCTAACCACGGCGACGCGATGCATTTTTTGGGATCGGAACTCATCCCGTGAAAGGGTGCGCAAACTGGAGCCCTCGTGCCAGTTCCGTTTTTGTCGTTGCGTGTGCTTCGCTCCCGGTCCGCAGCAAGGTTGATGACACAAGCGTTGATCTTTGCCAAAGTCGTCGCCATCGCTGAGCGTTTGCGGCAAATCCTGGTGCAAGGTCTCCGGCAGGAACAGGGATAGAATGCCACCCAAAATACCCAGCACACCCAGAGTGTTGAGCATCAGCGACAGAGATACGTGAGACAGGTAGATAACCGGCGGGGAGAGTAGCATGGCCACAAAGCCCATGGTATGTATGAAGGCCACGCCCTGGGCACGCACAACCGTCGGCAGCACCTCGGCCGCCCACTGCAGTCCAATGTTGTAGCAAACATTGGCAAAGAAGCGTCCCGCCAGGGCAGCCACCAATGTGTGGGTGGGATTCTTGACGTTAGCCGCCAACAAACTGAAAACGCCGCTCAGCGTGGTAAAGGTAAAGGCGCACCAGCGACGTCCAAAGCGATCCAGGGTGACGATAACAAGAAGATCGCCCGGCAGCTCCGTCGCGCAGGCTATGGTAAAGACAACAACCACGTTCTCCTTGTCCAGGACGGACGCGGCACGTACGTGGCCATCATAGATCAGTGACATAGTCATCCAGATAAATATCATGAGCACCATGTAGCGAGCCAGCCGACGACGTCCAAAAATTGAGAGTACCGTAAAGCTGCGACCCTCAAACTCCTCTTTATAGAATTGTTCGCAACTCTCGCGGAATTTCTTCCAGTAACTCTTCGAAACGGTTCGTTTATTTCTGGCTGCCACGTTCTTTAGTATGACAATTGCGTCGTCGATCTTGCCCACAGAGACCAGCCAGCGCGCCGATTCGGGCAAATAACAATATGCACATAATGCAAAAGCAATGGGTATCGAGCCGACCAGTGCAAAGTTACCCCAGGTGCGCAGCAATAGGGCCATCCAGGGTATTAGCATTGTGAACGGCGAGTAGAACATGGCCAGCGACAAGTTGCCCACGAGGGTGCGATACTTGGGTCCAACATACTCGAGTACTACGGAGTGGAATATAGGCATTGGAATTCGAAATCAACACAAATAAAAGTGCTCTGGTCGGAAATGCCCGACTAGCAGATACCCAGCCCTACACTTTGGCATATGCATTCTTGAATACTTTTGGGACTTTTATCAAGAAAGTGAAATTTTCTTAATCTTTATATACTATGCAAGAACCTTCACACCAAGTTTGAAATCTATAGCTCTTTCAATCCTCGAGTTATGCCTAAAAAACCAAGTCTATAAACCGATATTTATCGATATTATTGATATGAGAAGAGATATCGAAGTTAAATGACAAGCTCTTTGTGCGCAGGAGAGAATATATATTTGAAATATCCAGTTCTCTAGCTTTTGTAGTCTCCGAGTTCGACACGTTTGTATAGACGGACAAACGGATGGGCTGGACCTGATACATGCTACCCTATGGGGCAGAAGAGGCTTCTTTCTGCCTGAGCTCGGGTAAAACATTCTAGTTCAACTTATGCGTACCCAGAATATATATCATGGTGAAGCAAGTATCAAAGGAGGCGCCGACAATCAGGCGAATCATGACAAAGCTAAGAAAGTTACTGGCCAACGATGTAAAAATGCTGCCAAAGAACGCCAGGGAGCAGCTGCTAACCAAAGCAGCCACGCGACCGCAATGATCCGCAAAGTGTCCATAAGCCAGGCAACCTGCAATGGAGCCCAGAAAGAAAATCACTTGGGCGTATGTGGCATAGCGATCGTTGTCGCAGACCCAGCCAAACTCCATGGTTGCCGTGCGAAAAGGCTCGTTCCGGTCAAAGACATAACCCTCCCGGCAGGGTATTACCGGCAGGGAGCTATTAATTAACTCGCTGCGATTCTTGGACTGAAACACGGCCGTATAATTGACATCATACATCTGGCAGCGGCTGTAGCTGCCATCTGCCTTCTTGGGTATGGAAAGCTGTTTGCGGTCCTCCTCGCTGGTAATAAGCGACAGCTCGGGGACAAAGCAGTAATATTTATCTGGCGGCAGCGTCATAAAGATCTGGCTCAGATACACAAAGGCGGATATGTAGCAAAATGGTATCATCAATGCGAACAGAAGTTTCTGAAAGCATCCGAACTCGCCAACTTCCGGCAGGAGATCATCAAAGTCAAGAAATGGGTCCAATTCGATAATAGAACGTCCAGTCTTGCTTTTTCTCTGCTCATCAGAGGTAGTGCTGACATCGGCGTCAGAGTGCATACGAAAATCTCTGATATACGGCGTATAGCTGCTTGTCTGTTGACCCCTATCCACCGTGTTTTTGGCATCCTTGTTTGTTGAACTATCCTCTGCCCTTGCGCTAGATACAATTTTGGCGCTCTGACATGGACAAAACTAGACTATTTCAATACTCACGCAACGTTGGTTCTACTTAGCGTCCTACGTCCATTATTTTTTGCATCCATTTCCATAACCATCCATAGCCGGAAGCAGTCGGTTTTGACAAGGCAATAACGTCTAAAAGTCGCTGCAACGCCTGCTCCGATCCGAATTCTGTGTGTCCTTCATTTCAATTCACGTGATTCATCAGCTTTCCAGCTGACTGCTTGCGCTTCCTGGCGCCTAAACCGTCGACGCTCATGGCCATCAGCTGCGGCTTATCGACGCCATCGATGACCATTAGTCATGGCCGATACAGGGAATCATCGAGTCATCTGCCCCAACTTAAGTGGCAGCGCTTAGTGCAAAGTCCTGGCTATAATCAAAATGTTGTTGAATGACTATTATTATGATAAGTAAAGGATATAGTTGCTTTTGATTCGAGTCCGCATCCTGCCTGTTCATCTATCGCTGCTTTAATCAAAATGAATGCTTGAGGCAGCTTCAGAGCCAACTCTGCACATTTGCGGCTTATAAAATAAATTAAATACGCGCACAGTTGGCCATTTTCGTGCCAACTGTAGACATTGCGTACACGCCGCGTGGCCTGCAACCACCCGTTGCTTGAGTTTTGCATAGATTTCGCTTCATTTTGCTTCACATGCAAATCGGCCACTGCCAATGCCAATGCCGCCTGTTGCTTTTTGGCCCAAAGCACAGGCTGGCGCATGCGCTGACTCGCCGCCGACCCCCCCTGAGGCCCAACAGCGACTTACGCCCTTTCGAAGTTTCATTCATAAAATGCGGTTCGATGTTCGAATTGTTGGCCATGTTCCGAGTTCACAGAACAACACAATTCGAATTAGTTCTGGCGCGTCTTTCAAAGCGAACGGTTCAATCGGCAAATGCAGTCGGCGGCCATATATACTTATAAATATATAGCCGTATACGGCACATAAATCAGTGTCATAAATCTGCGTGCGTTGTATATGAAATTAAGTGTCAGTGTTTACAGATAATAAGATAGAAACCCAAAAAAACAAAAAAAAGGCCAATAAATAAGCTGGCGGCATCCTAAGACAAGCTGCCGTCTGGCCAGTGCCCCGAGCAAGTGTCAAAAAGTAAAGTGAAAGTGGCGGCCGCCGTTCTACAAAAGACTTTCTTTTACGATTTCCTAATGTAGCATGTAGATACGTGTATATATATATAAGTTTGGTGGAATAAGACGGTCCACAAAATGGCCATACTCGATTCCTGCTGCTTTTGGAGGAGCGTGCGTAAAGGCAGCTTTGCCTGCGCCGTTTACACTCTGGTGGGTAATCAATTACAAGAGATTTGATTTGTTAAAAAGAAAAAACAAACTTAGGCAAGATAAACAACAGTTTGGCTTATCTTCCTGCATATACTTTAGCTAGTGGTAAAAGATGGCGAGACAAAGCAAGAAGAAAAGTCAGAAGCAAAATGGCAGTAAGTCTAGCAAAGCAAAGCGCCAGCTAAAGCGCGCAATGTGACACTTTGAAAACTTAACAAAGCGAGAAGCAAACTAAGAAGCAAAGCGAGAAGCGAGAGAAGAAGGAAGAGAAACATTGTGAAAGGCAGCACGTGAAGTGGAGCGAGAATTGAGACAATTATAAATCAAGCGAGAAGCTAAGCAAGTTAAAAAGCAAGAAGCGAAAGTAAGTGAGACAAAACGACAAGTCAATCGAAGAATGGATGACAAAACGACAAACGAAGCGAGAAGCTTATCGAGAAGCAAAACGTGCAGCGACAATTAAGTTATAACAAAAGCAAGTTCCTCCCCGTATGTTGTTGTTATTTGCTATGCGCTAAAAATTAATTCGTAAAGGACTCGAGTTGCAATTGCGGCAGACAAAATGCAAAATATGAATGGAAGAAAGGAAAATACGAGAGCAGAAAATAAGTTAGTCCAATCGACAAACCAATTATAAATCAAGCGCTTCTTTCGCCGTAAATTGCATTTGAAATTAAGCCACAGCATTTTCAATGTGAGTGGAAAAGGATTGGGGAAAATGAAGAGGAAAATTTAGAGAAAATTGAATAATAGAAATATGAACTCAAACTAGAACCTCTTAATCTTGATTGGATTTATTTATAATATTGCAGATATACTTTGGCCTGTCCACGTTCATGTTTACGTTCTATCTGAAGGAGGAGCAGGCGTTTCTGCTTGGCCAGAGAAACCAACCGCTTGGCGAGAGCATCTTGGAGAAGGGTGATGTAACTGTAGGTAAGAGAAAGCGAGAGAGAGATAGTGAGAGAGGCGTCGGGGCTGGAAGCCATATATATATAGCTAAATGTTATCCAACGGAATTGATTGACGTGATTTGTGATTGCAGTAACTGTGATATTCAACGTGTTGTTTTTGTTTTGCTCGATGCTGATGGTTGTGGCCTCGCTGCTGCTGATTGTGGGACTGCGGAATGTGAGTGTGGTTACCTGAGTTGACCTTTGACACATTTCGCAACCAATTTACACCTTTTGCAGAACAAACGTCAATTGCTGTTGCCCTGGATAGGTTTAATGCTCTGCGATTTGCTTATCGAAGTCGCCCATCTTGTCCACCTGACGCTGTCGCGTCGTGTGATTTTTGATCCCATTGTTGGTTTCATATTCACCATAGATTTCTTCATTCTCTGTCTGAATGTGAGTGGACGGACCTGTTTGCCAATTTCCGCTTCCTAATCAATTTCAATTTCCATTACATTTCAAGCTCTACTGTTTGCTCTGTGTCATATCACAGTATCAGGCTTATCGAATGCAACGTGCCGAGCAGCAGCTGCATCCTGCTCAATCGGTGAGTTCGTGTGTGTGTTTCCAAGCTCATCCTACTTACTCCTACTCCACCTGCCATCCAACTGCAAATGCAGCGCACGGTGGTCTTTACGGCGCCCGATACGCTTACCAAATCGAAACGGAAGTCACTAACAGCTGCAAACGCGGGCAAAAACAAACGGCATTCGCATCGCATGCTGGCCGCCAGTCCATTGATCACATCACAGCGGCCGACCAACTTCTCCACCATCACCGAGGAGGAGGAGCAGCAGAGCAAAGCAGCAGCTTCCGCAGGTAATACAAAGTCAAAGGGGGCACCTAAGGACATGAACTAAGCTCTGCTCGTTCCAGCTGGAAATGGCACAAGCGACAGCGGTCACATTCCGGAACTGCCCAGCGATGCGACAGACCCCCTAAATGCCAATATACCAATTATTACTTTAGATCCGAACTCGCTGCAATGATGCATTTGTTTATTTTTTGCATTCATGGCTGACAAAGAAATGAATACATTTGACATATTTTTACATGCAAGAAATAGTAAAATTCCCAGAATTCTATCGAGCAGCCAGTTTTTCTTATTTCATTCGCATCGCAGAGACAGAGCCATCTATCTACCTCCTTCTTCCCAAACAGAGCTGAAGGCCAACTTGTTGGAGCACCCATCAGAGGAGGCAACGAATGCGATTGACAGTGAGTTACATGGCACGAGAATTGGATTTAATACCTTTTGCTATTTCAATCGAGTTTCTTTTTTCAAATGAACTTCAAACAATGCTGAGTTCAATCAACCAGCAACAACAGGTTTGTACAGAAGGTAAAATAAATATCAAATATCATGTTACTTGGGCTACTTTTTCAATTAAACATTGCAACAAACTCGTTGCCACAAAATGGAAAAGTTTTGTAAGCACGAAATGCTCGCAGGTCCTTTTTTTAGATATGTGTGATAAATATATATGCAAAAGTGTATGCGCTGTGATTTAAGTGAATAGTAGGTAAACGTTTTGATTCCACTTGCAGCTGTGGAAAATTGGTGGAAAGTGGTTGTGTGAAGCTCTTAGATAGCCTTCAAAATCCAATTAAGGTATCCATATTATATATTTGTTGATAAATAGAATTCAAGCCGGATTAATATACATTAATTTGAATAACTTCAATTGAGTTATATAAATAAATGCAAATGTTGTTAAATAGCATAACGTAACCCCATAATTTGCATTACGTATGCATTTCCCACTGGTCCAAGATACTTGGCTACCAAAGGGCAGTGCAGAGAGAGAACTTTTGAAACTTAATTAACTTACCTGGACTGCTACACTTAAATATATGCTATTTAGCTAAGCATCAACTAATTAAATTGAAACAGCTGAGGCCAGGTCTGCAGCAGGGTAGTTATTTGAAGCCCTTCTTTAATCCGAAAAACTAAATGGAAGCCTGACAAATTACAGCAGAGGTTGCAATTAAATGGAGTACAACAAAAAGTTGCAGCTCTCCAGCCTGAAGCAAACACTTGCTTTTTCAGTCGCAAACTAGAGTCATTAAATGCCACTTAATCACTCTTTTAGATTGGCGCTCTTCATTGCAACTGTAGTGCAAATCACCTGCAGCACCACAAAACTGTGAATGACGGACACACACACATATCGTGTGGCATGCATGTGTGTGTGTGTACTTATCACTGCTGCAACAGTTGCCACAGCTGTGCGCACAGGGATAAGGACCAAAAAGCTTGTTTGCCAAGCTGCAAACAAAGCAGCAAAAGGGGAACCACTCAACCACTCGGAAATACACACACACAGACAGCAAAAGCCAGAGTGCCATTGCACCACTTAGCACACACTGTTATTAGCTACTGAAAAGTCGAAATTTGTGGCCAAATATCAACATAGCTGTCGGCGTAATCTAAATGAAAAGATGATAACGTCCATCAAAAGTGGACTTAATGGCTTTTTAAGTGGATCTTTGAAACGTGTTCGCCATCCTGTACAAATAGTCCATTTGTGTATGTTTACAGACTCAATTGGAATTAAATTGCAATATATATAAAAATAACATCTATTGATTCACATTTTTGTTTTGTATTTGACATGACAAGCATTTATAGGAACGTGTAGAAAAAATACCCTTTGATGTTCCACCACACACATACACATAAAAATGCAATCCAATTAACATATGTATGAGTGGTTGTTACACTAGCGTGTATTATCCGGCTTTGCGCGGATTCAGATTTAAATAAAACTTTTTAAGCATAGAAAAAACTTCGCGTTCTTTCTGAATCCTCATTTACAGCCAGCGTAGTGGATTTTGCTCAAAGGATGAAACACATTTCAAATGACATTTGACATATGTGTGTGGAATTGACTTGAACTGTA